GAAGGATGTTGAAAGGTCTTAGTTGCAACAAAATAAAACCTAATAGTAGATTCATTTTGTCTGGCTTCCCTTTGAAAGAAATACACTCTGCATCTGTTTTTCTTAAAGAGAGATCATTCAGATATCAGTACATCTCTCCTGACATATTTTTTGTCATTGGTCAAATTCTGGTGTACCTAAACCAGCAAGCATTCCAGAGACACCTGCACATTGACTAGGACATGCTCAGTGGAGCAGGTGTTGTGACATCACTATGGAATTTTGGCCATGAGAGCTCACTTCAGAGGGGATCACTTCCTGGTCCACAGTGAACTGTGAACTGGCTACTTTACATAAGGGAAAGGAGACCACCCTCCAAGTCTTTCTTTCCTCCAAAGCTGGCAGCAGTTAAGCAGCCATTTCCTTGGCTTTTTGACACAGGGACTGGCCTGCTTGTTCTGCTTTTAATGAAAATGGTATAATAAAGAAAGATACCCCTAATACGAACCTGTATAGACAGGATAGGGCAAAGTCAGCAGAACTTTCCAAATAAAAGGTTTGGGCAGTCTTGTGATCATTCCCAAGCTTGCCTGTGTTATGAGCTGTTGTAAAGGCATCTCAAGTTTTATTATGCCTAACATGCAGAAGGCCTCTTCCTGACAGTGACTCTTGGTGCCAGATCCACCAGGAAGCATAGTCTTTTCAGAGCTGTTTAGAATTCACAAGACTTAGTTTTGTTTATTGAAAGTACAGCCTCATTCTCAGCTGCTTTAAATTTGCCATTTGCTGCAGAATTTCTTAAAAGGGTCAAGAGAGCCAAGAGAGCAAAATCTCGGACTCATGAGGTATTTGTAGGAGTCTTTGATCTCAAAATCCTTCTGCTCCAAACACAGTGGTAACGTAGCAATGACAATGTTTTATTCTTTAGGAGACCAGTGAATACTGGGTGTGATTTGGCCTATTGCCCATCCATGTGGTGTAATATTATGGGCTTAACACCAAGCACAGTAAAGTCTCATCATCACCATCAGTGGATTTTGGATTAGGCTAGGTATGCACAGGCAGCTTATTCTGAACAGAGAAAAGGCAGCACAGTTTTCTAACAGCAGGATGAAATCAAGGGTAGCTTTAACAGGATATGGATCTGCAAAGGGAACTGTACTGAACATGAAACCACAGGAAGCTTATTCAAATTGTGTCTTATGTTGGTAACGAAAACATTCTAGTCTAATGCAAATATGCAAATATAGTCGTTGGCATGGAGTTAATACCTTGAAAATATTAAATATTTTTTTAAATAATTTTTGCTCTAAGTTTTGACCATTTGTGTCTGCTTTCCTCAAATATTTTAGCAAACAGGTTTACTTGTAGAAGTATTAATATTTTAACCAGATATTGGAGAATATGTGCTAAAAATGTATGTAATAATAATAGTAATGCATATTTTTGCTCTAGGAAGGAAGCCATGGAAGTTGTGCTGTGACCAAAGAACACCAGCAGTGGTGGGTGCTGAATACCTCTAGTGGCAGCAGGCAAAAGTAGCTTTAATTTTGACTGTCAAATACTTGCACCAAGATTTTTACTAGATGGTTGATTATAACCAAAAATTGTCGTCAGCAGACAATTTGGATATACATTGGAAGAAGCAGCAATTTGTTTCTTACCACGCAGAGCCACTGCGTGGGAAGCCACCGGTGCCTAAGGCGTACTTGGCTCTGGTTAATAGCGGAGAGGTGGAACATGACGGCACTTTGGGGCAGGACACGCTGCGGCCGCTCGCCGTGGGCCCGCTCGGTCCCGCTCGGTCCCGGCCGCCGCCGCAGCTCGGGCCGGCAGCGCAGGGGCCGCGGGGCCGTGAGGGCGAGGGGCGGCCCTGGCGCCGCCTCGGGCCCGGCCTCGCCCCCGCCCGGCCAGGCCGCCCAGCGCGGGCGCCGCCCGCGGCCGCCGCGTTGCCGGGATACGGGGCCGCGGCGAGGCGGAGGCGCGGGGCCCGCGTCCCTCAGCCGTGACCCCCGCAATGTCCCCTGCAGTGTCCCCCTGCCCAGCCCCGAACCCGCCTGACCGCCGGCCCCCTCCGCGGCACGGCAAGGTGCGGGGTTTTCGACTAGAACGTCAAGTGATGGGAAGCAGAGCGAGGAACGCATCCGCAACTCCCTCATCCCCCCTGCTGGAACCTTGCAGAAAGAAAAATAAATGAGTTTCGAACCCCATTGTGCCTAGTCAGTACCTGAAACAGCCGGGAAAACAAGCAAGGGCCGAGGGGCAGGCGCTGGTCCGTGGGCGCAGCAGGCGGCTGCCCGCTCCGCTGGCCCGCACACAAACAGCCATGGCATCGGCAAAGGGTGAGCCAAGTGTCGCCGGGCTGCAGAGAAGCTGTGCCACTAAAAATCCACGAATCACTTTGGTTTTAAACTGCTACATGGCAGGAAATGAGATGCTGAGCTTGGCAGTAAAGGACCCTGGAAAATGTGATTATGCCTCTCTTTTGATGGGACTGTTATAAATATTCATAATATTGCAATTTTGGAAAAGCAGTTGTTTTGGCATGTGGTTTGGAATAGAAAACTAACTTCCAGGCGCTTCTCTGCATGGACAAAACTGGAGTCAGGTTACTGCTCTGCTGCAGAATGTGCTTTTGTTACCGAAGAAAATACTACACTGCAAAGTTTTCAGGAGGTTCACAATGTGGTTGGAGTATTAATTAAAGAGAAATGCCTAGGTAATTGATGGTGGATTTCAGTGAATGAGCCAAAGGAAATGAAACACAGGTTTTCACCATCAATGGCAAAATATTGCCATGGCAATGGGTGGCTTTGCCAGGAATAAACAAACAAACAACAACAGGCCTCTTTCAGGAGAAAAGAGAATTTTCTGTTCTCACCTCACCCTGTCTGTGCCATTGGACATCTTGGAGGGGAGAAGATGGTGTAGCCTACTTATGCAAGTCCTACAAATCCAGCTTCCCTCTCAGTAGGTACAATTAGATCATTTCCAGAGCAAGAAGTCACCTTTATACTGGGGGATGGGAAGGCAACAACATTTGCTTAATAATTATTTCAGTGCCTTGGCTGCTGTAATTATTTTCCATTTTTTTACTGGAGGTGGATAGGCTCGGAAATAACCCAGGTTTTTGCCACTCTTAGCTGGTGCTGCTTCAGGGAGGGACTGCTGACAGGGAAGGTTTTCTTAAGAGCAAAAACATGGGCCTGCAGTTAAATTAATAAAGACCTTTACAAAAACACAACAGAGAGAGCAAGGCAGCTGAGAAAGCACGAGCTGCCCTTTCTTCCCTGGGCTCAGATGCCTGGCAGGAAGTGTGGCCATGCAGAGGCAGTGCTGTCCTCTCCCAGCATGGCCTTTGAAGGTGGCCATCTGCCTCTGAAAGCTTTCTGGACATTTCTGGCTGCAGCAGTCCCTCAGAGGATGCAGTCCCACCACCTGGTGTGAGCTCTGGGTGTCATCCCTGCGAGATGGACCTCAGCCACCTCCCAGTCAAGGATTCAGCAGTGCTGGATCCTTGTAGCCTTAGACTGAATTCCTTGCAGTTGTGCAGGCTGTTGTTCTGCCCATAGCCTGTCAAATCCCAGGCGGGGACCTGGATATGCACTAAGGCCTTGCTGGGATTGTTCCTGAGGAATATAGACATGGCCTGATGTTGATCTTGTGATTTTGTGGCTTTTTGTGGCAGGAGCAATGGGCTAGAGCCAGGTGGCCTTGTGAAACGAAAGGAGGGGTAACCAGAAGTCAAAAGAGATCTCCTCCTCAGGAGATCAGGTGTCCCCTGAGGAGACAGCATCCATGTGAAGGAGCTAAGAGTGAGCCTGACTGTGTTAAATGTTTGTACCACTGGGTTGACCCCAGTAGTGTTTGTAAGCTGTGTAATATAAACTATCCAATAGGGAAGCGTTAAGACCTGTTAAAGTTTGCAAAACTGATCTAATAGCAATATTATATTGAACAAAAAAATCATCCTGTGTGGCTTCCCAGCTATTTGGCATTTGTTAGCTTTGTCTTACCATTCTTAATAAAGTAATACTTAGGCGCTGCTTAAGTTTCCAATAAAATATTTAATGTATATTACTGTAAAGTCTTCAGGCTGAGGACTGTATCTCACAGAGCACTCATACCACACCTAGCACTCATTTGATTGCAGCCTCCAGGCAGTATTGTAAAGGTTCATTATTACCACCAAGATCTGTCCTTATACTGTCACTCTTCAAAGAAGGTCCATTCTTAACTACAGGTTTAACACAGCTGGTATTTAAATGAAAATTTTCTTTTTTTTTTTCCATCGAAAAGAATCAAGCCAAGAAAATACATTTTTTAACTTGAACTTTAAATTAATGTTGCTCATGTAGAACTGTGCTTGATTCACCTTTGCCTTCATTTAACCAGCTCAGAAAACATGCAACAAATAAGAAGCATTCTTTTTCTGAGGGGGAAAAAAAGGGAAAAAAGGGGGAAAAAAAAAAAGGAAAAAAAGAGCTGTATTTGGGATCTATTTTGCATGAGAAAATATTTTGTTTAGGAGTGACAGTCAAAGGCATTCTCTCATACATTGTAATATTTTCCATGTGTGGCAGCTTGTTTTTCAGTGGTACAAATATGTGCAATAAAGGCCGAGGATAAAAATGAATCTAACAGTTTTTGCAGCAATGCTTGTGATGGTTTCATTTGATTTCATTTTCCTGTGGATACTGCCATTAGTTCTGCTGCTTGCAATATGTGAAGCATAATTCTGAAAGGTTCATGAGGTTGTAGGGATCCAGTAAGAGATGACTGATTTCTCCCCCACACACATATACTCCACCCCACACCCACTCACCCACCCACCAGCAAAACATAATGCTGTACTATTTTTGGAAACAGGGAAAGGGCCTCCCTGTGAAAACAGAAAGCAGTGTATTTCTCAGTTACATCACTTTGCAATCTAATGCTGTGTTGTGCTCAGTGTTTTTGTGGTGATGCAAGTCTTTTTTTTCTTTCCTTTTTTTTTTCTTTTTTTTTTTTTTTCCCTTCAGCCGGTTGGATTTTCCCCATCTTACAGCACCTCGCAGGTCTCTTCTCTGAGCAGTACGTTGCCTGAGTGAGTGGAAACATACAGATCAGCTGCAGGTTTCTATCTACAAAAACAGAGTGAAAGAGAAAGAAAAGGGTTGGGAAAGCAGAGACAAATATTGACCTGGACTTAGAGAAAGACATCCAATGGCTGAATAAAGAACCCTGTTCATGTTTTGGGATATTCTTTCAACTGGCTGGAACGAGAGCGGATCAAAAGAATGGGAAATGCCAGCAGACCCTTTAGAAGAATTGCTTATTTCTTATGCCTTTTATCTGTGCTTTTGCTGACTGAAGGGAAGAAACCAGTGAAGCCAAAATGTCCTGCCTGGTGTACTTGTACCAAAGATAATGCTTTATGTGAAAATGCCAGATCTATTCCTCGCAGCGTTCCGCCTGATGTTATCTCACTGTAAGGGCTGTAAGCATTTGGTTATTTAATTTATGATTTAAAATGAACTAGGATGTGTGGTGTTCTCAGTGCATACTCCCTGCTTGCTGCAGGGAGTACCTCCAGCATTCAGAATCATCAGCTAATGTGTTAAAATTGTGCTGCATCCTTGAATCCTGATTTTTATATCTCTTTCATCTGTCTGTCTGTCTGTGTATGTGCACACATCTCATTTTATACCTTCTTGTATAGTACATGAAATCTATCACGTTATATTGGGGGGGGGGGAAGGTAAATTTTTTTTACTTATATAAATAAATTTCTCTGTGATGACCAGATCAGTATTATAACCATGGCTATATGAGGCTACATTAATGTATGGTTGTTTTTTTCTTCTTTACAGATCCTTTGTGAGATCTGCTTTTACTAAAATCCCAGAAGGGAGTTTTTTGCTCACACCATCTCTGCAGCTTCTGTGAGAAATATTTATATGATACAATTTTTGTTATGAAGTGTATATGTATTCATAAATATTTCAGAAAGGGTCTTAGTATTAATTTTATAAGAAACAGCAGCAGAAGATTTATTAGATCATAAAATACATTACTTTTGAGCAATTTGAAAGATAGTGCATGTTTAATTTTTACTTAGTATATTGTAAGGCTGTCTGTTGTCAGTACTACTTCGAATGCTTACATGCTGAAGCTTTTGGTGATAGAATGCATGTTATCTTAATTATACTTTAATTAACATTACAGTGAGGACTTAAGTATTGCAACAACTATTCTTGTTTATTTTCTGCATTCCTGGGACCTGATCCCAGTGTAAAGCTGTCCATTTGCAACTCCCATCGACAGTGAGCTCAGAACCCCCCAGATCAGGCCCGTCATTGCAGTGGGACAGGTCCTGAAGTCCTTTTCCATGTAAAATTGCCATTGACTTTTGTGGTAGTTTAGTCACTTCAGTGGGAGTTTTGCCTTCATAGTACCTGGATTTGACCCTGCTTGTCATTTTATGGTCTTAAAAGTAACGACAGTTTTCTCCCAATTAAAGACTGAAGTAGTTATTTAAAAATCAAATATTGTGATGAGGTATAGACGGAAAGAGAATATTTTGGGATGTTTAACTGTTAGCTGCATTTCAACATAGGATTTTTACAGGCTCACAGGCTTTCCTAGAAATGTGGGCATACGATTATATAATTGTGAGCTATACAGAGGTAGAGGGGGTGTAACCTGAACTGTTTATAGTGGATGTGCTGCCAGCCTGACACACACCCAGATTTGTCTCAGAAATCCTGCAAGGCAGACTCCCCAGTGTGATCAAAAGCAGAATCGGATGTCTGTCCCAAACCCACTCCCATGCGCTCTGGATGTGGTCAGAGGTGTGTGCTGATGGACTAGAGCTGTCTGGCTGTTACATTAAACTGGTGGCATACCAATAGCTGAAGCCCTGACCCTGGCTGTACTCTGCTACCTCAAGTGGAGCTGATAAGGAGTTGCAGACATACTGTACAATTTTGGATACAGGGTAAATAGGTAAATGCAGTTACTATGGAAACCTAAATGCTTTTCCATGGTGCTTTATTCCAGAGAAGCTTTTTTCAGGTGGTCACAGATCACAGAAGGGACACATTTCACATAATTGCTGCAATGGGCCTTCCAAATGAGAGGGGGGAAAAAAGCAGCAGCCCTGGTGGGGCTTGTATTTGAAGAGAGTGAGTAGGACATCATCTCTCTTGGCTACGATACACCACCTACACTTAGCAATCCCACTGCAAAGCAGGCAGATTTGGGCATGGTAGAGTAGGACAGACACAGTCATCTTATTTTGAGTTATAGTGCCTGGCACAGTGGGCTTGGACAACATCTTATGACATTTTGGTAATGATAATAATTTCCATTTCTACTGTACAATGAAATGCACATTCTGTGCTGCTGTTCATAAATGCTGCAACAAAAACTATGACCCCAGAAAAGCAGGGTTTGTTCCACTGTGGGCTTTGATGAGTGATGTGTTTTCCAGATATATTTTTAACATGGTAGTTGAGCTGCTTGCCATCCTTGGAATTTCAGGCTGCTAATCTAAGGCAAATGACTCCTTAAACACAGACCATAGGAGCAGGATTGTATCTGTGGGGACAACACTCCAGTTTGTACGTGGGAAAGAAAAATTTTATCTTTGGCAGAAGATAGTAAGGGGAATAAGAATATGGAAAACTTACGTTAATTAAATATTTCAGGAATTTTTAGCTTTGCATGATTATAGATGTATTGGTAGGTTTAATTTAGCCAACAGCAAGATTTAGCAGCTTGTATGTATTTCTATAATAATAGAAATGCATATAGAAATAGTCTCCAGCATTACGTTTTTGAAGTCCAAATGTAATTGGATATCTCCAATACAGCAGTCACAGATGTCTAAATATGGTGAAATTCTGCTGCTATTATTATTTACTACTATTTTTAATGTAGTAGCCCCAGTGGTCTCTGGAAAAATCATGGTCTTGAGCTAAACACTACTTGTAACTCCCAGTCCAGGACAGCTTTTCTTCTTGTGTAGTATGGATGGCACGCTCTGTGCTCTTCGTGCGACAACAAAAACACAGGGAAGCTACACAGCTATGGTGAAGTGCCAGCAGGAGTGTTCCCTAAATGCAGAGAAAACCTCCCAGCTCTCATCTGCAGCTCTTTTATTTCTGTGTATCAGCAACATGCTGAGGGTGCCCTTATAAACTGAAGACATGAAAGGCCACAGAAAGAAGGGAGGTAATCGTGGCATCAGGATTTGTACCTGCTCGCACTGTGCTGTTCCTGCCAAGTGACACAGTCCCCAGCTACAGCGCCATACCTTCAGCCTCCAGCCCCAGAACCAGCAATTATGGTGACTGAGGACAATTTGGGGCAAAAATACTTTGTGCATCAAATACATCTGATGTAGCCATTGGGAAGGGGTATGAGTTGGAAGGCAAATGAGCTCACCAAGTGCAAGACCTGTGCTGTAAGCCTGGCAATCTCTAAAATAGCAATACTATTTAAAGAGATACCACCCTGTTCTGTAAATTACTGAGTGGAGTGCAGAAAAGGAAAAATTATCCAGTAAAATCATATCAGAAAACTAAAATTAGTTGCAGGATTTAATAAATTGGTCTTCTGGTTCAAGAATTCTATTTAAATACTTGTTTCCTCTAAAACTGAGGTATTTATTGATTTTGACAAAAAGGAAGAATTTCCTGCTTGTATTTTTTCATACATTTAAAAAAAGCACAATCTGAAACAGCCAACTGAGAAAATAAATTACCTACAATTTATTCTGAATGTAAACATCAACATAAGAGATTAACTCATTAAGTGGATTAATTAGTACTTGGAAATCTTGCATTCCTGAATGTCTAAGGATGCCATAGTATGAATCTATTTATCCATCAGGTCAATTGATTAAAATATAGATGTGCATGTAGTATTCCACTGGGGTGAAGTTCATCGTGCTTTATGATGTCCCACCACATTAAAAGCGTAGCAGTCCGGGGCTAGATTATAATGGACAAATGCTAACATGGCTGATAAGCATGAATAAAGCTGGAAAAATCAATGCTAGTCCACTTTTAATGCTTACAAAATTACATAAAATTAAATGTTCTGCTGGTATTTTTACTGTTAGATGCATATGCTAAGAGTACCTCCAAGCGGTTTAGTGAGGTCTTAAAAATATTTTTGACTTGAACACTGACTGAATTTAGGAGATTTTTCTTCTTTTTTTCCCCCAGTAACTTTCAGTACCCTCAGGTTAAATACACTCAGAAGTTTAACTTAAAAGTTAAAGTATTTTCCTTCCTGCCAGTGTTGCAAATTCAACCTGATGTCAGGGTAACTAGCAATTTAAACCAAGACAATTTAAACCTCTGTAATACTTGAAGATTTCATTGTTGTCCTAGTATATCTCCAGAGGCACTTATACAATCCCATTGTTTTACTGGCATGATAAACCCACGTTTACATCCCACAGAAGTCAAAGGAATTTTATCAGATGGCCCCAGTAGACAATTGTTGGATCCTTCCCTTTGCACCACACTGTGGTGCAATATTTCAGCCTTACAGTCCTATAGTGCTTGCACAGAAAAAAACATGAAACCAGGCAGTGGAAATTGGGCCTTGCTGAACCATTTTCTAAAGCTGCTGATAACCTAATGGTCTTTTGTTTTGCATTTCTTTATGCAGGTTGTTTACGTCCAACACTTTTGATGTTATTAGTGATGATGCTTTCATGGGCCTTCCTCATCTAGAATATTTGTGAGTGGACAAAAGTATATTTCCTGGCAATTTTGAAGAGAGTGGGTGGGCTTCCAATTTCCAGGCATTGGTTGACCTGAATCACTTTATGATCCATTACAGGTTCATAGAGAACAACAACATTAAGTCAATTTCAAGAAATACTTTCAGAGGACTGAAATCTTTAATTCACCTGTAAGTAAAGCGATTGAACATATTACTTTGCATATTTAATATAGTAACTGAACCACTGTATTGTTTAATTTCTCATTTTCATATATAACTGTTCATAGTTATTTAAGTGGCATTAATAGTAATTTGATTAGAATGCTAATCTTTGTGTTTCCACCAAAGACTCCCAAACTGTGGTATTTGTAGAAGGCAAAGACACAAACAGCTTCCAAGCACTACATGTTTGGCAGTAGTTCCATGACTTTCTCTGCTTGGAGCACTGGGGATTTCCAGCTGAGCATGTAGGAGCAGGGAGAAGTATGAATTGGGAATCTTGGCACTGAATGAGGTCAGTCCCAGTTTGGGACTTGGAAAGGAGGAAGGTGGGAGCTATGATTAAGAATGTGAGAGGCTGAGGAATGGACCCACACCTCTTCTCAGGTGCCCCAGTCTGACATGCATCCAGGAGAATATTACAGCCATTCTTGGGACAGGCCATCACTCTCTGTGCCCTGTTCACTTATGACACCCAGAGCAATTTTGGAGACTTGCAACAAGATGTTTTTTTAATGGCTTGCCGATCTACTTCTTCCATTCTGCACCTACCTTCCTCTGCACCCTGTCCTCTCCTGCATGGGAGCAGGAGCATCGCACAGTCAGGACCTGTCACACACTGGCTCTGGGATGTGCTCAGTGTTCCTTGTGAGCTGCTCAGCCCTTTGGCTGTCCCTGCCCTCTGACCTGCTGCAGCCCCTTGCTGCTCGAGCTGGGAGGGAAATTGCTCCAAGGCACTCTGGATGCCAGTGTGCTGTAGGAGCAACGCTCCCCATGTCCTCACCAGCAGGAGCATTTCTCACACATTGGCAACAAGTACCTGCAACATTTCATTGCAAACAAGAGTAGCTTCCTTGTCTCTGAGCTGGGAAGACAGTTTTAATAGAGGCTTTTGTCTCTTATCTTACAGCAAGTTTATTTTGTAGCAATAATTTAATTTAATGAGGAGTACATTTTTTTAAAAACAAAATACACACTATAAGAAAACAGGAAAAAAAATACAAAACAAGAAAAGGAAAAAAATCTGTAGTGTGCCTGGCATGGGTTTATACCCAGTTCTGAGCATCTGCATTCTGAAGCATGTCATGTGGTGTGTTTCATAGGCAGGGGAGGGGATCCTGACCTTTTGGCCTTAACATGATAGCCTCCAAGAGGGTTTTGAAACAGGGCCTTTAACTTTCTCTTTCATATATTTTGACAGAGGAGAGAAAGCAAACGTTCCATTTTAAACAGTTAATGCATAAATATAATAGTTGAATTGCAATTCACCACATCTTCACCACCTAGTAAATGTACCATAAAGCACTTTATGCTTTCCCTTTTGGTCAGGACACGATTCACAGCTGGCTGGAACTAAGCCTACTGTGACTGCTCATGTAGATAAAGTTACTTATGGAATGGCTCTAGGTCTGAGGAAGAGGAACGAGAGAGGAGAGGGAAAGAGGTACATAAAAGAGTTGTGCACATCCCATAACAATCCATATTGGAGGTACAGGCAGAATTATACTGTTGTTAGAAAAAAAGATAGCTGGATAAGGCTGGTAACTGGGACCCTATCTTCAAAATATTTACTCACATGAATAGCTTTATATTCACAAGTGGGTCCAGTGCATTATTTATCATATTCATTTACTTATTTAGTAGATGCTGCTGCCAGTGAACAAATTGCTTTTCTAAAACAGAGGAAGGCACAGTTTCTTCTCCACAGGAAGGCTACCATCTTGTCTTGCCTGTTACATTGGTTTCTGGGGATGCTTCAGGAGTTTCACAAGAGAAAACATACACAGAAGACAGATCCACATTTGAGGAGCCATTGTCATTTGCATGCGCATTTTTGGGACATAGATGTGTGCATCATGCTGCTAGTGTCCATGGAGCACTATTCACAAAGACAATGAGAAATTTGTGGTAAATAACTGCAAATGCACCACTAGTTTAATCTGCTTGAAGAACCACTCCCCATCTTTTGGGGAAAATTGCATATACACATTAAGAATGATCATTTGGCACCCTGAGGCAATTTTCATTTAAGAAACAAGAGAGTACTTGTGTACATAAAATATATTAAAAAGAATCATAGTAAATGAGCATGCAAATAAGTTCTATGAAGTTAGGTAAGATGAACTTTGTCCTATTTATTCTATTTACTTTCTTTTCACAACATAAAGTTTGGAATGCAGTAAGCTATCCAAACATTTTTACTTCTATAATGCAATTAACTTCAATAATTACAGTGTGTCCTTATTGTAAAAGAGAGACATTTAGAATTTATTTTTGTGCAACAGGACTTATTTGCTGGCCAGAGTACATTTAAAAACAGAAAAATTTTTAAAAGATTGCATTTTTTTTACTAATTTACTAATTTAATGTCAGAATCTTACAGTTAACATTGGATGGTAATTTCTATGCACAATGGGTAATTTTGATTGCATTTCTCTCAAAACTCTCAAAAATTAGTTTACCTGCATGCTTGAGCCAGCCTTTACTCTCTTATTATAATCCAAATACCCCCTACAGGACCATCTAGGCAAGACAGTGTTTTGTAATATGTAAGTATGTTTTTTAACAGTGGGCCATAAAATGCATGATTTTCAATCAGAAATTGGCAAATGGATAAACCTTACTTAAATTTTTCTCTCAGTCATGTACCCATGGCAGTGGTGAACCGCTCCTACTCCCAAGTACACCCTCCCTTTCAGTTTGCTATATAATAACATATAAAAACAATGTAGGGCATTAAACTTGTCTCAGCTTGCAAGTCCACACAGCTTTCTCCATGTGGGTTATCTGATTTTTAAAGAATTTCTCTGGAGCATAAAATTGCACATAAATGAAGCACATGATACATTCACATACGGTGTTACAATCAGACGTACTTTGAAAGTGGTGAAGTCAGAATGGACTAATGAAAGCATCCCATATTTACTGTTCCTGATCAGACAAACACTTATTTTTAAATGATGGAGCAGACTGGGCTTGTTCTTGTGTTTAAGTATGTGCCTAAATGTCTTTGCTTGGCTAGAGAAATTGTGGTTGATAAATAACATTTAAGTTTACAAGTTAAAATAGAAGAGGTTCCAAGTCTTACTGACTACAGATTCTAACTGGGATCTTAACCAAGAATTATTTATTTCCATTTTTTTTTCTTCTCATAACTAATAAATAATTCTGTTAATTGGAAGAGGCATAGACTATACCCTACAACATTATTCTTTTTCTGTCATGCCCTGTGTGACATCTGAGACCTTTGGCAGGCTCACAGAGGCAGTCAGACTGAAATGTAATATACTGTTTGTTCAAAGCCTGCTCACATTTTCTTGTCACTTTTACTAGCTGGAATACTCACTGAATTTAAACAAGTTTTCCCAACATTGAAAACTGGGAATTAATAAATTTTTTTTGCTGGTGTAATAAACATTTACACAGGCACATGCCAGGAAAGCAATTCACACTTATCAACAATTTATTGCCTATTACTGCATATTTTCAAAAACTATGAGCTAAACCTAAGCCCATCAGCCCATATTAGTAAGATTTTCCTTCTAGAAGAGGTACAATAAAGTGGGGAAATTGCAGTGGTATGAGCACCATGTATTGGGATCTTGTAGGGAAAATATCAGTAGATCCAATAAGGCTAATTATTTTAAAATGTTAAATGATGTTGGCAAAACACCAAAGGTGACAGCACTTTTTACTGTGCTAAGTGAAGTATTGTAAATGCTGCAAAGCTGCTGAAGAGTGAGAAAGCAGAAGGAGACATGGCATTTTAGTGGAAGGAAAACTCTCAAAGCAAATGAGCTACTCTTAATAACAATCTTTTAGAACTAAGTGTTGGAGAATGCCAGTGTTCTTTGCCATAAGTAAAAACCCCACACAGTATATCACAATTTGCAAAAATGTGTAGTTTCATGAACAGCTAGCACTAATACTGAGGTGTTTTCTTTTTCAGGAGTCTTGCAAATAATAATCTCCAGTCACTTCCAAAAGACATATTTAAAGGCTTGGATTCTTTAACAAATGTGTAAGAAAGCAATTATTTAATATTTCAATTATAATAGATTATAATATAAAGAGATTATTTAAGAAGTATAAAGAGATTATTTTAGAGGACATTTTGAGTAACCATTCACACCACTAGCCAGTAATGGGTCTTGTTAGTGGGTTGAGACTACACAGTATGAGTAGGCTTGGGTTTTTTTGTCTGCCAGTGTTGAGAATTTGTGATGGTTTTGAATATCCCACCAGTTATGAAGATAAGTAATATTGTTAGTAGTTATGTAATAAAGCTGCATGTTCATTAAGATTTCGTGAATAAGAAGGGAGGATCCTTAGGGACGCATGAGAGAGCAAGGCATGCAGGGAAGGTGGAAGATACTTAATGGAGTAACATTTTAATGTGCAGAAAGTTCCTGGGAAAGCTAACTTTTATCAATAAAGCATGGGTCTAATTAAGTATCCCATACTAAATCTAATTGCAACCATATCAAAACATCAAAATATCATATATATATGTATATATGTATATATGTGTGTGTATTTATATATATATATAAATACCAGTAAAAATCCTGGGATGATAAGCTCAGAAAGTCCTTTGCCTGCTCCCAGTGTTAGCAGGTAGGCTGAATCCCTGGAGCAGAGCTGCAGCAGTGAGATGTGGCCATGGGCAGTGGATCTGGAGCATTACTTGGCAAGGCTGAGCGTGGCCAGGTGGTTACACAGTCTGCTCCTGGCGCTCGCCTGTTCCTGTACATACAGTCACAAATCTGACTGAAGACAGCTGTAAAAGCCTTAAACAGAATTCCTTTGCTTGTCTCTCCTGAAGCCCTAAATGATTGTAGCTAAAGGAGATAGTGAATACTGATGGGCTGACCATCAGGTTACATTAATTCCTTTTTTTTATCTAGAATGCTTCTACTGAGAAAGAGTAATGCAAAGGAAACAGGAGTCCATTAGTATGGGAGACTTTTATGTACCTGTAAACTTGGAGAAATAGATAAAATCTTCTGACTGATCACCAAGTTAAGGTCTTCTTGATTACCTTAATATAATTAAATCTGTGTGGGTTCTGGTATGTAGATTTAACTATGGGTCAGGATAAATTAAGCCAGGAAGGCCTCAAGTAAGAATAAGCAAGAGGGCACTTATTTAATAGAAGCCTGTTTTGTTGTTCTCAAGGAGAAATACATTAGCTGACTACTTCTTTTCAATGCATGATTAATTTGTTGTAGAGATCTTAGAGGCAATGCATTTAATTGTGACTGCAAACTCAAGTGGTTAGTGGAGTGGCTGGGCAGCACCAATGCAACTGTTGAAGACATTTACTGTGAAAGCCCACCAGAATATAAGAAGCGCAAGATCAATAGCCTCTCTCCAAAAGAGTTTGATTGCATTATTACAGGTAATGTGCCTCAAATTATTTAATCTTCTTAAAGTCAAAGCTGTGATTTTTCATTCTAGACCCCATTTTTGCAGGAACGCTGCATTCTGGGTGGAATTTCTGCTAAAATCAATATGAACTTTGCTGGTCTAAGTCTGACATGGGAAACATTTGGGAGCAGGGTCCTATATTTCAGTATCTACTCAAACTTTAGTATGTTACATAATGATTTGGAAAACTGGGACATAAAACAGCACCTCTTTTTATTGAGAAAGATTGAAAACCAAATTGCAGTGTTCCTTTATCAACAGAAAAATTCTACTAGTGATGAAATACTGTAATTTGTAATAAATTGGTATCTGATAAGCAGATGTTTTTTCAGTACAGTATGTAAAGTATCTCTGTAATTATCATCTGTTGTGTACAATTCGCAGAATTTGAAGTTTATCAGTCCCTGCCATACCAATCTCTGTCAGTAGATACTTTCTCATATATGAATGATGAACATGTGGTTATTGCTCAGCCTTTTACTGGAAAATGCATCTTTCTTGAATGGGACCACGTGGAAGTGATGTTCAGGAATTACGACAACATTACAGGTATGAACACTGCTTGACAAATAACCTTACAACAAATTATCCAAAAGTGATGCTAACCCTGTCTCTTACTTTTCTTTTTATAGGTACTTCAACTGTTGTGTGTAAACCTATAGTTATTGAGAGTCAGCTGTATGTCATTGTCGCACAGCTTTTTGGAGGCTCCCACATATATAAAAGAGATATTTTTGCTAATAAGTTTATAAAAATTCAAGATATTGAAATCCTTAAAATCCGAAAACCCAATGACATTGAAACTTTCAGGATTGCTGAAGACTGGTATTTTGTTGTTGCAGACAGTTCAAAGGCTGGTTTCACCACGGTTTACAAATGGAATGGGAATGGATTTTATTCCCATCAGTCTCTGCATGCCTGGTACAGAGATACTGATGTGGAGTATCTTGAAATATCTGGCAAACCACATTTAATTCTGTCAAGTAGTTCGCAAAGACCTGTAATATATCAATGGAACAAAGGAACAAATGAATTTGTTAAGCGGTTTGATATTCAAGATATGGAAGATGCATATGCAGTGAAGCATTTCAAGGTGAAAGAGGATGTGTACATTTGCTTAACAAGATTTATTGGGGACTCTAAAGTAATGAAATGGGGTGGTTCAGCATTTCTGGATTTACAAAGGATGCCATCCCGAGGGTCAATGGTATTCCAGCCGCTTCAGATAAATAATTATCAATATGCCATTCTTGGAAGTGATTATTCTTTCACTCAAGTCTATTATTGGGATGCGGAAAAGGCAAAATTTGTGAAGTTTCAAGAATTAAACGTGCAGGCACCAAGATCTTTCATACATGTCTCCATCGATAAACGAGATTTTCTCTTTGCTTCAAGTTTTAAGGGAACTACATTGATTTATAAACATGTCATAGTTGACTTAAGCGCATGACACTCATAATTCTGAGATTACATCAGACTTTCTACCGTAAGCGGACAAAATGAACTAAATGCATGATGACTCTCTTATCTTACTTCCAAATGAATGCCTTTAAAAGTTGAGATTGCTAGAACAAAGTATTACTAGTATCTTCATCTTTAATTGTCAAGTCTAGTGGTGTTGGAAGTTGCATTTTTTAACAAAAAGAAATTAAATTAACTGTTCTTTGCATCCACAATATGTAAATACATGTGCAACTGCATCTGTTGCTATAAAGAATATTAAGATGTACTTTTCCATTTATTTATTCACCTGTTTGAAACAACTGCCAAATAAAATGTTTACATTTTGTGTCTTTCACATTCCAAATATTATTTGCAGGTGATACTTTTTATTTGTGTATATATTATACACATATAAAATAAAGCCAAGAAGGCATATTGCCCAGTTGTACTGCATAGAAGATGCATGAAAGATCAGGTGGGTTTTACTAATAACAAGAAGTTCTTGATAAAAACACTGCATTGAAACACAAGCCTATAAATTATCACCTGGACAATCCTTGCACTTCTGTGAAACTTCACTGACTTAAACAGACCTCTAACCAGAAAAAAGAATTCAGTCATCTAGATGTGCTTGTAGGACGAAGGGTTCAGTTTTACACATCTAATTGTAGGCTAGGCCTGTACTGTGTATAGCTGTTTCTAAACATCTACAAAGAGCTTGGCAGAATAAAAGACAAGGTAAAGGTCTGTGTTTGTTCACCTGATGCTGAAGAAGCACAAAACAAATATCTTGTACAGCACTGGGGCTGTTACTGTGCTAAAAGCTAGAAGCAAAGCTTATTTTTCAGCTAGCATTATTTCTATAGCTGAACTGTCACTCATCACTTGCATGAATTCTGTGTCCTTGTCAAGTCTTTCCACTGTAATTGCAATTATTTAGTCTTCAATGAATTTATTCCTTATTCTGAATGAAGCTAGTGAATGGGAAGTAATTTTTTTCCACTACCCTGCAATGAATCTTAGTACCAGGTAGTTCTGAAATTCAGGGAACTTTGGATGTGTAGTCAGTTTGTATAGTGTATGCAGCTCCAGGGAAGCTAACTACATCTGTTAAATTGTGCCAAATCTGAATGTGGCATGGAAATCTATCACAAGCTCAAAGTTAAAAGAGTCTTTTGTTTGCATTCATCTAGTGCACCATTTGAGAGAAACCTACACTGATGCTGAAGATGATTTGGTGCAGCTCAGGAGGAAGAGACATGAATACTGTGTTCATTTCTAGACATTTCTACCATTCACTGATGTTGACTGGTGAATAAAACTAATCATACTGTGCATGTCAGCTAATCACATGAGCTGATTAATGTATATTTAGGAAGCCAGTCCTAAACAGTATGCTTCTGTAATAAATAATGGATTTTTTTTTATATTTAATGTGATTTAAAATGAAAAGTTCTCACCTGAACAATACTACACTAGTAAGTTAATTTTTCTGGTGTCTTTTTTTCCACAGCTGCATATGCTCTGCTAAGCATTTGGCTTAGTAACTACCTATTCCATAAGTATTTACAATGTGAGTAGAAAGATTTTAAGCTATGTTTCACAGCTGAAACTTCCCAATTGTTTCTTAAATACATTTCCAAAAATCATCTTAATAAATTCTCTCTTATTTGGCAGTTTCCTTTATATGTCAAACCATATTTCCTTTATATAGTTTTAGCTGTTACATCAGCATGATTTCAAACCCCAGATGAAGCCAAATATTTTTTTTTTATTTCTCAACATTGGCTGCATATCTGTGATTGCCAACTCAGTTTCTTCTTCAGTGCCCTTTGCATGGGGAAGGAATGAAATATAAACATGAACTCATCTCCAATCTACCAGCAAACCATTAAGTGTTTTCTATTCTTCTTGTCTTCTGTTTCAATCTTTTACTTAAGGTCCTGTTGAATTATGTGCACTGGTTTTTATCTGATTTTTCCCATTATACTTGCCTACATGCATGCTCTATCAAATTATAAAGATAATGGCTATGCATCCTTCTCATTATGAACATATTATAGACATCTGGCTGAATTTAAGTGGACTTGGAGAAACTTGCTAATCTGCTGCCAACATTTATTTACAAACAGCATATTGCCTCCCAGTGTACCTTGAAAAAGTTACTTTTCATGGAAATATATTCCAGAACCAGCCAGCTGTGCTGGCTAAGGCCTATGCTATCATAGTGCTATGATTGCTCTCCTGAGTTTTACCTCATTCTGAAATGATGTGACAGACTTACAGGAATTCACTGTTACTCCTGGGTTTAAAGGAGGAATTTAAATGCCTGCAAGGGTGTGAGTCACTAGAATTTTACATTCACAATACATATAAAACTCACCATGGTGCAGTGGAGAGTGGCAAGGGATCAATCTGCTGGAGAACACAACTGCAGTATGTTGTTCCTTCAGAAAATTTTTTCCTATAGTCAAGCACTAGTGATTTGGGAAGTTCTTAATGCCTATGTCATTTTTGGAAGATCAGCTAATTACTATAAAATGCTGAATCAAACCTGTTTTCTTTTGAAAATCCCTTTCTCTAGTCCATTATGTCAGGTGGAGACTCACAGGGACAACAGCCAGTTTCTTATTGTGTGACTAGAGCATTTCTTTGTACCACATAAGGAACTGGGGTATTTTTAGAACAGGACCCATAATCCTTAACATAGGAAAGCGTAAAGGCTCATTAGGTGGCTCCCTGTGCTGTTTCTTCCTGATTTCAGAGACTGGGCATTTTAACAGCTCATCTGAGCATAAAGCTAAGGCCTATTCCATCCTGGTTCTCTGCTCAGTACTCCTTCTATTATCAGTGGAACAGTCAGAAAAAAAAACTAGAACAGAACCTTTCATCATATATACATTGATACTTTTTAAAAATGCAATTTTTTTCAGCAAAGTCTATGTTACTTGTGGCTGACTGGTTGTCTTCTGTAGTTTTAATGGATTTTCTAAACTCCCTAATTGTTTTGTTTATGACTGACAGAGTATGTAAGGTACTTAATGTATTACAGAAGACAGTATTGAAGGTTATTAATGGATACTGCTGATCCTTGATGCTGCTTAGTAATGTTAATGTCTAAGATAGAAAAAAAGAACATTAATGGAATACTATTGTATTCCTACAACTACTTCATTAGATTTTTAATAGACCCCAAATATAAAAGAATATGCAGCTCTGTACTTGGGAAGAGATATATAAAATATATTCAGAATACCTGATACTATACCATGTGTAACTTTTTTGTCTATTGCAATGCCTAGGACTTGAAGGTTTTTTTGTTTCTACTTTATTTGAAAAAATATTCCAAAAAGCACTCTTCCTACTAAGAAAGAAACTCAATAAGGAAATATCTTGTTGTGTAAGGTAACAAAACAAACAGAAATGCATTATTGGTTTGTATTTCATTTTAATTATAACTTCTCCTAAATATTGAAATTTTTAAACGTTATTTGAAGGGGTTGTAACAGCTACTCGAAGTATGCTTGAGGAGGGGAAACAATTATTAGCATAGTTAATAATGTGTGATATGCTTTGATATGTTCTAGTGGGAAGCTCACTAACAGCTGTATTTATGTATATAAGCATTAAATTATATTGTGTTAGCATTCAATGAAAAATAAAGACTATTTAAACTATAGAAGTAACAAAAAGTCCTCAAACTGACAATAGCACCAAGAGAAGTCAGCATGCCTAATATGTTACAATTAAGAACAGAATATAAGCACACAGCAAGTTTCAAGAGAGTGGAAGTTTCCCTTTTCAAGGAAATCTTTTCCTTTCCATGAACACGTAATGTGTTTCCCCTCAGTGGGGAACCCTGAAAATCCAGATAATCACCCAGTTCTTGCAAAATACAGTAAGAGGCTTACAAACTTAATGCACTACGTCCATGATCCTAATATGTGGATTTTTTTCCCTTTTGACACCTCTCTGCTGCATCAGTCTCAGCCCTGGTGGCACAAAGGGAGTGGTGAGCACTCTGCTGCCCACTGAAAGGGCCAGGGCCCTGCCAGACAGAAGTTAAGCCAGGCTCAGCAGATGGAAAATGCAAACCCAAGCACTCAATTCACTCAGCTGTTAATGCCTCCCCCACTGCCTAGCAGGTTTTCTCTCTGATTTGTTATACATATTGCCAGCAGTTCCCACTACCTTTCATCTGTCTGCAGGCCTTGCCCTCCCCTTCCTGCTGATGTGGAGACCTAAGTGTGGCAGTAAAGCTGTGATTTAGACTCCTATTGATTAGAATGGCTGAATGTGTTCTTGTGGCTGGGAACTCACCGATAAATGCCGAGGTCTTGGGGAGTTCAACTCCTCCAGACCGATCCGCGGTACACTGCCTGACTTACTGCTAAGGGCAACTTCTCTTCCTTACTGATGACTCTGAATTCTAATGGCTGGTGTTACAGGCATGTCTCTGTTTATAGTTCGCTTAAACAAAGTGCTCAGAGGCAAACCTAACCCTATTTCTATTCAGGAATTTTCCTGAAATGAACTGGAACTACAAAGACCTCCAGTGTGCTATACAGAAGTGGTGTTGTATTTGTGCTTTGAGACTCTGAATCACTCCAATTAGTTATGGTAGTGTAATACTTCTGTCTTCAAATTTGTTATAGTAGAAAGCAATTTGCCCCTAAATATGCATATTTATATTCATATAATTGTTTATTTATACTCCAAATAAACGGAAATGGATGACAGCAATAATTATGTTACTGTTCCCAATCTCCCATTCATCAAATCAATTTCTGAATTCTCAAAAGTTGTTTTCAACTCAGCCTTACTTTATTCTTCCTACTGAATTATTTCAATTGAAAAAGGACTTTCTGACCCATTCTCCCTTCCTGTTTGAAGGCCTGGATAGCAACACCAGTATGTTAGCAAGTTGTCAACCTGCCCAGATGGTGAGCATCCAAAAATACTGAAAGAGCTTCAGAATAAACAGGCTGATCTGCTAAGAATACATAGTCCTTCATTAAAAACCATTTATGTGCAAAAGAACTAGAAGTAACAAATATTATACCTATTTTTTTAAAAAGCTAATGGGATAAATAACCAGTGGAATTTCAGACCAGCAGATCCACATTTCCCTGAAATTCTAAATGAAAATGGAAGTGTAAAATTTCAGGGGAAATTAGGTAACTAAGCAAGTGGGACAGGATGACTAGTGAAGTTGAGAGTCCAGAAAGGCAAAATACTAAACATAGGAAAGAAATGCTCACAAAGTCTAAAATTAACAGTGAAGAAAGTTAACTTGACATTGTTGTGAACACTCAGAAAGATACTGATCTCAATATACAGGAACAGGAAAGAACAAATAATGCTACCACATGTACAGGATAATAGGGAGACTATAACAGTACATGTCATGGCAAATCACTGCTGTTGCCTTATTTGAGATACTGCATGCAGTACTCATGTAGTCATCTCAAAAAACTCTGCAAGGTAATTAAGGACTCAGAAAAATTTATTGAAGGAAGCACTTGACACTATCAAATCCCAAGCCATAAATGAAAATACCTTCCCCCACAAATTAAACTGTGGCATTCACTGTCATAGGCAGTGACATAGGTGACAATAATACGGCATTCAGAAAGTCAAACATGGATAAATTACATAAAAAAATAATTCTATCACTTTAGTACTGAACAAAATTGCTCTTTATCAGGGAAAAGAAGAGTCTTTGCACTTCTGTGAGAAACATCTGGTTGTAACCATTTGGGATGAAAAGCCAAGCAGCTGGATAATGACTGTGCTCCAGTATTGCATTTCTTATTTTCAGTTCTTGAGACACAGTGTTCAGAAATTAACTCAACTTTGTTGCTGAGGTCCACAAAACAAAATATATAAGATTTACATATGCCACAGCCATTCAGAAGCATTTACAATACTGAGAATGTGAACATGGAGAAAATTTGTAAAATACCAGCAACATAATTCCTTGAAATTATGTCAACATTTAAAAAATTTTGGCAAACAATTTGCAAGCACTTGAGAATGTAATTGCACAACTTAGGCTGATTTCAGCTATGTAAGTCATGACAGAAGTAGATTCCCATGGGAAGATCAGAACTCAGCTTTTTATAAGCCTATTATTAAGCTTTGAGTATTAGAGCTGTAGGAATATTAGTAGCAAAGTACCTTATGATTAAGCAGGTGATAGTACTGTCCTGTGAAGGAGTAATTTCTAAACCACAGAAACAGATCAACAATTTTGGAAAAACTAACAAACAAACAAACAATTTCCCTTGTCACAGTTTCCAAATAACTGTGTAATTTGAAACCCTTATCCTGCCCTCATTTTTCCCCCATATCCAATAACATAAAGATACTGCCCATTCAGGAAAATCACCATGCCTATGTTGCTCCAAAGTGTGAAACAAAGAAGAAAAATGATAAATCTGGAACAGAAAATTTAATTGCACATGTGAATAGGTAAATTTTCTGACAGACAGATTACTACTGAAAAGAGAGCATCCTTTTAATGTTTACACTTGAAGGCATTAGCTACATGGATTACAGATTGCAATCACAAATAAAAATCCTCTGCTTCTAAATAATTCATATGCACTGACACAAGTCCAGTCTTAAATCCTATCATTAACTTTTTTTTAGCATTATTTAAGATAACAATGAGTCCTT